TCTTAGTCTGGAAGCTCATCTGAAACCTACCATGAGTGACCCTGCTGAATTTATAATACCAGTGGCATAGCTTCCAGAATCACAATGACATGCAAGCTACCACATATGACAAATTGACAGATGAGTGGTGGTGTGGTTGTTTAGTATGTTACAATTCAGATAATTATATTTGAGGATTAAGGGGGTGAAACATGGAAACTTACTAGTTAAACACAGTTCTGCCTAAGATTGATTGATTGTTGTTATTGTGAAGTGCCGTTGAGTCGGTTGTGACCCATATTGTTGTTATTGTGAAGTGCCGTTAAGTCGGTTGTGACCCATAGTGACCCCGTATAGGGTTTCCGAGGAGCAGCTGGTGAGCTTGAACCACCGACCTTGCAGTTCAGATGGCTTTGTGGTCTGGCGCATTAACCCACAGCGCCACATTATTCTTTAAAAGAGCAAGTACTAACCCTGCCCTTTTCTGGTACGTACACACATGGGATGGCCATGAGTTGAAATTGACACAACAACTATTACTATGTTGTCATGTGCACATATACATAATGCTATAGGAAACTCAACTGGGGTACTTTTTGGCAAGCATTGTGAATAAAAATATAATTATATAGAATAAATAATACTATAGATTATATAAAAGAACCAACTGAAATTTGTTGGAGTCAAGCAACAAGGAATTTGTTCAAGCCTAAATATCCTTCAGTTATTCATTCAACAAATGTTTATGATGTACTTGCTATGTACAAGAAAGTAGTTGTAGTTCTCAGTGGGTTGTAAGTTTTGGAATAGTGGATAACTTGGGATGGAAGTACCTAATTACATCAAAACTGAATTGGAGCTCTATTTAGTTTTCTTACTTAAAGCTTACATAAAGTAATATCTACTCATCAAGTAAAAATTTCCCAGTCTTGGCTTCTATAATCTATTTTGAGGAACAGAATTTAGTGGTAGGCGATATGAGTTCTAGTGTCTGTCTTTTTTTCTGAAGTCTGATTAGTAAGTCAAACAATGGTTTAGTGAGATAAGCGGTGAACGGAGAGTTAGCCAACCAACTGGGCTAAGATCCCTGGTTGGATCACTCAACATCTTGGTAGACTTCAACATCATTTTAACTTCTAAGAACCTTAGAGTTTTTAACCTATTAAATAAGAAAGTATAATAAACAGTTTTTAAGGTCCCTTTTAGCTCTAATATTTACTTATGAAAATTAAAGCAGTATGATAAATACTGCAACTATCAGATAAATGTAAAGCATGAGATGAAAATAATGATTCAAGCTCCATCTACACAGGAAATCACATTGTAAAAACCTGTTGTCACTGTTAAGTGCTATCGAGTCGATTCTAACTCACAGCGACCCTGTATAGGGTTGTGAGGAACAGCTGGTGGATTTGAACTACTGGTAGGCTCCAAAATGTTGTGGAAAATGTTCATTATTTTTCAATTCCCTTTTTCCACAAACTTTTAAAAGCCCTCTGGTATAAATAGACTTTTGTTTACCCACACTTCTATTTTTGTTTAGTGCCTTCTTTGGGTCCAAAGTCTTCTGTGGCAGATCATCTTTAGTCCTGGGAATTAGAAATCACCTATCATGAAAACTGGCTACTAGGATAAGCACTGGACTGCTAATCGCAAGGTTGGCAACCAACTCTACAGGACACAACAACAACATTTTTAAAAGTTTGTAGAAAGTTGCCCATTTCCAGTATGTGCATGCATGGGCTTACCACCATGAGCTAGAATTGACTCCTTTCATGATGCTTAATGTCCTCTCTTGAAGGAAAGGAGTGTTCCGAGGTCCCTGCATGGCCTCTGTGACTGCTAATGCTCTACCTTGAGTATGGGTGGTTAAGACTTTGGACCAAACCCTATCTCCACCACTTGCCCTTCTCATTATTCAGTTTCTTTGCTATAAAATGGGATAATCATACCAGCTCTAAAGATGGTTATGAGGATTAATCAGAGTAAAATATGGAAAAGCCCTAGCATACAAATAGGTAGATTATTGTTATTGGTGGTTGAAACTCAAAACATACATCATCCCTGCTGATTCAAGCAAGCTCTCAGAGTGACCAAAAAGACTCTAAGCACCTGTTACTAAAGTTATACAGGAATATACATTTCTGCATGTCACCCCTTCTTAGCCACCAAGTAGCAACAAAAGCAGCAGGCATTTTGTAGTGCTTGCTTCTCCTAGTGTGGTACTGCAGGACTTGAACTATAAGGTTGGCAGTTCAAACCCACCAGCTGCTCCTTGGAAACCCTCTATAGGGTTGTTAGGAGTCAGCACCAACTTGATGACACTTAACAAGGACAACAGTTTCTTACTATGGGATTTCCTGTGTACCATTTTATTGGATGTTCACATTTAGCCTATAGACCAGGTGGTGCTTTCATTCCTGCTCTCAGAATCACTGGCTTGACCATTGCCATGGTATTATACTTCAGGGATACCATCAATTCAGAATGCAGTGTGAGTGGTCTCCTCTTGGTGTTATGTAGAGCAGCAATACAGAATACTAACTACCACTTTTAGAATAGAAAGTGGAAGTCCAGGATGGTTCAGTGACTTGTCCAAGGTCACACAGCCAAAATGGACAACAACCTGATCTCCAACTCAGGTTGTGATTCTAATTATTTTGTGCTTTCCTCTAACTGTGCAGTACATACTTGGAGATTATGATTATGTCCAATTCTCTATGCCAACCTGTCCATCTAATATTAGGCTTTGAGTTATCTTAGCGGAAGACACCCTGTGGTCACGGCATTAGAAAGCCCTCACCATGTCATAATGTAATATGGCACATTTTGACTCAGACTTGCTCTAGGTGTGTGATACCTGAGACATTACTCTATGGAAAGGAAGTACCTGCATATATCTACTCCTTTAATCAGTAAATCTTGTTTACATCTATATTCACCTCTATTGTCTCTCCCACTGTGTTGTCATTTATGTGTTAATAACCTCTTGTGCTAAGAGGTTCATTGCAGTATTAAACAAAAATTAGAAGTTTAGAAAAAGTGCTATTATTAGACTGCTGCTTTTGGACTCCATGCAAACTGAGAATGACTTCCTCATGCTCACTAATCCCCAAACAAAATAAACATCAAGAAATATGAAGGCACACATTTTATTAGTTTCATTTAATTTCTTAATTGCTCATAGTCAGTTTACCCATTTATTGCTCTGTGAAATGCTTAGAGGCAAGGCACACATTAAAGGGATTATTTACATGTAATCCCTCCCTCCCAGAGGATAGGAACTGATCACTTATGAATCCTGATTTATGCTCTGAAACAATACCAAATGGAGGAAATAGTTATTGTAAAATGATATAGTCGGTAGTAGGGTAATATAAGAGAGTGTAATTTAATAGCAAAGAGAAAGTGCCTCATTTTCAGTAAAAGTTATGCAAGCCCTTTTCAAGAAGAGCTATTAACCAAACTGAGTTGAGCCTCCCATTTTTTTCAGGCTATACCTTTGCTAATTGATAGATATTGAAGATGTGTAGCCTGTTAAGGTTTTAATTAAATGGAATCTGGGAGTAGATGTGATCATTTTACCAGGACTTGGAGTTCTGGGGATAATAATTGCTCTGGGTATTAGATGCTCTGTGACAATCCACTCCTGATAGAATGCTTCCCTGAGAGCAAAAAATATGGACACTCATGTAGCATTTGGAGACATGCTGGAAATGACACTGGACAGGGATGTGAGGTAGGAAGGAATGCTAGGTAAATATCTGCCAATAAACTCTTGAAAATAGAAGTGCTGGCAATTCTGTGACACACATGGCTGGCCTAATACTATTGAACTCCTGAAAACCCCCAAACCCAGTAGTGACCTGGGAAAGAACTTGGCCTTGTCCTGTTGCTGACCTGTTATAGTGCCTGTAACCCTATTGTAAACCCTTTAGAAGCACTATTGCTTTTCTTGGACTCCTAGTGTGGTGCAGTAGGATCAGCACTGTTCTGTGAATCACAAGGTTGGCGGTTCAAACACACCAGTTGCTCCTCAGAAACCCTATACAGGGTCTCTGAGTCAGAACCAACTTGATGACACTTAACAACATTGCTATTCTTCAAAGGAGATACGAGTTATAGCATCCGAAGAGTGTGGAAGTTACACTGGTCCTTACTAGTAACTTCTGCACGCTCAGACAGTGCCCAATCCAGGCCAGGGAACCATACCTGATGACACTAAAGTGGGCAGTACCGCCGTTTCAGGCTGACACCTTCTGACATTTGCTATTCACTCTCTACCTTTAGAGTCAGTCTAATACAAAGAGTACACAAAAGAAAAGTTTTTTGTTTGTTTTTTTAAGCTTGCAAGGAGAGCTGTACCATCTATTTTATTAGATTGAAGGCAAAACAAGCTAATACTAGCAGGAAAAAAAATGGCTGCTTCAGATCCCAGCTGACCTTTTTTGCATGGAAAATTCTCCGTATGATTACAGAACTAATGAGTAATATTTAATGAAAACATTATGTCTTTTCACATCCTCATAAACAGCACTTCTTATATTTAAATTTACATAGAAACAAGCTGATATGTATAGCAATGCATCTTGCAAATTTGTGTATTTTAAGGAAAATACTTGTGTGATATCTCTGGCTGTTTCCATACAAAGTCCAGTGTTCTCAGATAGAAAACTCAAATTCAGTCAATCATCCGGTTGACACCAAACATGCAAGTATATGATGATGCATGGATAAAACAGCGGCATGTGAGGCTGACTTGTCCACAGGCACCAAATGTTTTGACTGTATGCAAACAACAGTATATGAGAATAACTGGGCTAAAGAAATACATACGAGAAAAAGCATTCCCTGTGCAAGCATCCTTAAGTATCTGAGGATAAACATTAGAACCAAGAGCATTCCTGGGGCTGGTATGGATTTCATCTGCTGAGTAGAATCTGAAGCCCATTGGTGTGCTGAATGTTAAAAATTGAAAAGCCTGTGACACCTCTTTCCCGCCCTTTCTCTTTCCCCTCTAGGTGGAGCTGACAGGAAGCAGTGTCTTTGACTATGTCCACCCTGGGGACCATGTGGAAATGGCAGAGCAGTTGGGCATGAAGCTCCCGCCTGGGCGGGGTCTCCTCTCACAGGGCACCGCTGAGGATGGAGCCAGCTCAGCATCTTCCTCCTCTCAGTCAGAGACTCCTGAGCCAGGTGGGAATTGCAATCCCAGTGTGTGGGTTGTGGGCAGGACCTTTGCCAAACGGTTGCACTCCAATTGCCAGTGTGAAGGGATTATAAATAGGCCTAGCGGTATTTAACAATTCTGTGCAGCTCTCAGTCCCTTGCAGTAATTAAATAAAGCAGAGATTTGAAAATAAAGAGACATTTTAATAAGCATAATCCAGAGATCTAATTTCAGTTGAACAATACATATAGAAGGTACTAGTGCCTTTTAGGTTTTCTTTCAAATTAATGGAGGAAAATGGTTTAGATTTAGAATGCCCTCTTCCTTTTATTGTTAACATGGCTAAACAAAATGCATTTATTTATTATTCAGCAAAACCTATAGCAGAGGTTTTTTGTTTTTGTTTTTGTTTTTAACATTAGCTTAAAAGTATTGGGAATTTACAGAAATCATGGCTTTTATTTTTTTCTTTTAAACATCAAAAGGTACTTGAAAGATGTGAACAGATAAATTAAGGCTAAAAAGAAAACAGAATGGCCACATTTTAAACTGCCTTTCCACCCTCAGTATTTAATTAGATCAATTGTATAGAGGAATGAACAGAGGTGACATTCCTCATTGGGATTCCTTCCAGGACTCTTATAGACTTTGCATTCAGAATGTTCCCATTTTCATTGTGTTGTACTGATGATAATTTAAGTATTAGGGGAAAATCCATTTATAAATTAAACAAAATGACTTGATATCCATCAGTCCCCTAGTTCATCAAGCTGTTCAAACACGGGGAAGATTGGCTGGTTGGCCTGGGTCTTCCGAGAGCGCTGGTAATTAGATCTGCGAAGGATTTATTCTTTGCTGATTGGGGCTTTAAATTAATTGAAGTTCCACATTTGTGGTTTTGTCCTTTTTGTACTTTTTCAGAGGAGATATTTCATATTCTTGTGTGGTGGAGTGCTTGGCCAAGCAGCAGTGGTTTAAATGTTAATTTTTCTCATGAGAAGTTTAAGATTTTTAATGAATCAAGGCTTGATATGAAGTGCAAAGTTTTATTTGCTTACTTGGGAAATTATTTTTGCACTCTTTAAAGACGCTTGTACTTTTCCTGATCTGTTGTTTTCAAACAGATTCATAACACACACAAATAAGAAAAAATGGGGAAAAAAATCTTAATATATTAAAATGTCTCTACATGCTTCCAAGAAAACAGTTTAACGTAGCCTTCTTAGAAATATAATCACAGTATGTTTGCTCACAAAGTAGGAGAAAACCCAGATTTTTGCCTTTTGGAAATATTTTAATTCCACGTTTCTTCTTTGGAGTGAAGTGCAGTTTCTGAGGCCCCATCCCCATTCTTTAGTGTGGCCATGCATGAGAAAAGAGAGTATTAAAGACTACTTTTTATGAATTAGGAATGAAAATAACTGTTTTCATAGGGCAGAGGGTACGGGTGGTGTTCATATATCCTACTCATATACCATAATTCACTGACTTTACTGTATACGAGTGTCCAAGGGGAAACAAACTACTTTTCAGTCATTTACCACCAGTTGTCATTGAACTGATTCTGACCCATTATGACTCCCATGTGTGGTCAACTAGAACTGTAAGTATCTCTCCTGGCCTTGCAACATGCTTCTGGGTAGACTAGAACATCCCACCTATCAGTTACCAGCCAAGTGCGTTAAATATCTCTACCACCCCGGGTCTCCTTTTAGTCATTGTTGTTGTTAAGTGCCATCAGGTTGGTTCCAACCCATAGCAGCCCTGTATAGGGTTTCTGAGGAGCAGCTAGCAGGTGAGTTTGAACCGCCGACCTCATGTTTCAAACTGGCTTTGTAGTCCAATGCACTAACCCTACAGAGCTACACCAGGATTCAAGTGTTCATATTTGAGAGGTAGTAAGTGGAACAGTTTTCTACTTTTTCATTCTAGATTTGGATTAGGTTCTGTGGTTTACTCCTGACTCTTAAACATATCATTTACTTTTCTAAGCCTTATTATGAAGGAAGACTTCAGAAAAGTTTAGTTTGCTTCTTGAATCAAGTTTAGGAGAATGGTTGGCATCCTTTGATCCAACCTCCAAACCCAATGCAGTCATCCCAGCACAACAAGACCAACAGGCGACCCTCTAGCATCTGCTTGGACATGTGTCTGGTAGCAAGCTCACTAAATTGTTGAACAGTTCTAATAGAAATGTAAACCCTTACTGAGTCATGGTCTGCCTTCTGGAACTGATTTGCAGATTGACCCCTTCCCCTCTATCACAGCCTCTCACATATGTGATGCATCAAACAACCTTACTTCCACAACCGCTATTCAATGACATGTTTCTAAGACCCTAACCACCAAAGCTACGCTCTTTTGGTTGTGCTTTAGTTTGTCAATGACCCCCCACACACACACACACAAAAAAAAAAAGCGTTAAGAAAACCAAGCACAGTCCTTCAGATACATTCTGATTAGTACAAAACAGACTGTCATCTTTCTCAGCATAGACTGCTTCTATTAATTCAGCCTCAGGTTGACTTAGAGGAAGACCCCCAACAAAATGGATCAGCACAATGGTAGCAAACAGTGGGCTCAAGCGTAGCAACAATTGCGAGGTGTGCACAGGGTTGAGCAGTGGTTCATTATGTAGTTCGTAGAGTCTCTGTGAGTCTGTACAGACTCAACAGCACCTAACAAGAACAACAAGGTTGAATTAGGCTCTATTGTTAACCAGATCACACTGTTGATTCATATTGAGCATGATGTCTCTCCAAATAGGTGTTCAAAGAGATTTTTCACTTGGAGGGACTTTGATTAGGTGCTGGTCAAGTCATTTCAGACTTACAACAACCGTATGTACAACAGAACAAAACACTGCATGGTCCAGCTCAAACCTCACAATTGTGGTTGTATGTGAGTCCATTGTTGCTGCCACTGTGTTCAGTCCATCTTGTGAGGGTCTTCCACTTTTTCACTGACCCTTCCATTTACCAAGCACAATGTCCTTCTCCAGGGACTGACCCCTCCTGACATGTCCAAAGATGAGATGAAATCTTGGCATCCTTACTTGTAAGAAGCACTCTGCCTATACTTACTCTAAGGCAGATTTGTTTGCACTTCTGAAAGTCCATGGTACTTACAATATTCTTTACCAACACCATAATTCAAATTCACTGATTTCTTCTATAGTCCTCCCTATTCATTTAATATTAGAAGTCTGATAAATCCCATGCTTCCTGTGAAGGACCAGCATGCATAGAACAATTCTAGCTATATTGTTAAAATTAAATTCTTAGAGTCTTTAAATTCTGTGTATTAGGAAAATACATATCCCCTTCATAGTCACTCTGTTCATTTAACGTTCAAAGGTACCATGCATGTGCTTGGGTTTCTTTCCCCACCTTCCCAGGGTTCCTTTAGCCATTCTTACTAGTGAAAGTGAAAATGCTCCTTGCTGCATCCCTTAACAACTTGGGCTCATTTGTTACAATCATATAAGATTGTATCTCTCACCATTAGAGAATGCTAAGCTGTATATGCCTGAAAAGTCCATTGTTGTTATGTGCCGTGGAGTCGGTTCTGACTCATAGTAACCCTGCACAGGGTTTCCGAGGCTGCAAATCTTTACGGGAGCAGAACGCCTCATCTTTTTCCCACAGAACAGCTGGTAGTTTCGAACTGCTGACCTTGCGGTTCGCAGCCCAATTTGTAACCACCACACTACCAGAGCTCCTTTGAAAAGTATTGGTTATTTTCAATCTTTGGCTTACAGAACAATTCGATTGCCTGCTCAAATGCTGAAAAACTGCATAGGAAGCCACCTCTAACTAAATATCTTCACTAATGCAAATGATCGCTCCAAGGGAATTAACTTAAAAAGTTCATGTCAGGCACTACATCCCAAAGCTGCTTATGTTTCTTAAAAGCTGAAAGAATTTTAACAAGATTTTCTGATTCTTAATAACATGAAGGAACATTTTTGAAGACTGCTGTTCACTGCATCATAATCTTTTAAACTCTTCTTGTAACACAGATTCTTTTGTAAATAGTAGTGTCATTTGAGTGGAAAGGGGGTATCAATATGTGGTTAGGATGAAAATGAAAAGGACCACCAATAGGTATGGAATTTTTCAGAAGCCCTGATGTGTTCAGTGTAGCATTACTAAATGACTGAAATCCAAATAACATTTGGCATTATAATAAAAGGAAATAAGTACCTAAACCAGCCTAAGAGGCAATGATACTGTGCCATAGTAAGAATTCGATTTCTTTGAACTGCCAGCCCTGTGATTGTCTTATCTTGAACCAGTCTCAAGATAATGAAAGAAAATGATCTGTTGATGGGGCAGCAAACTAAAGTAAATTTTTTATGTATGCACATGTATTAATAGTTAAGTAAATAAGGTGTTTCTTATAGAGAAATCTTAAGGCAGGCATAAGAAAAGTAAATGGCTAGCCTGGATTTTAAAAGTTACATTTTGGAAGAGACTGAGCTTCTCTGTCTGCAGGCAAGCATTTTTCTGTCCCTGTCGACTCCCTTACATGGGGAGTGTGGAACGCCTGCAAGAGGCCCTTTGGATGGCTCATCTTATTTTCATGGATCTATATGTATCTTTTCATTACTCTTAATGATTCTGCAATGCTAGGATTATGAATGCCAACCTCCTCTTTTAATAAATTTCAGCACCAGATCTTTTAAATGCTTAATAAACAGAAAAGAAGCTCTTGCAAGAATCCTAGAGAAACTTTAAACATTTCCTTAGTTTGAAGGCAAAGAATAATAATAGTCCATGATTTTTGTTTGTTTGTTTCTCCTTCATAATAAAGCAGTTTTCTTTTGATTGGTTTTTATTCTTTTTAGCTGTTTGTTTGTTTTACTGAAGTAAGATCATAACATTCGTACATTTACTAGACTTTTCCATTTCACATCATGGGTATCTTTCTCTGTCATGTTTCTCTCTTTAAGATTTCCTTTTCTGTCTCCAGTGGTTTGTTTCCTACTAGCTAACAATCAGTCCTAGTCATAAGACCACTGTCA